AAAAAAAAGCAAGTTTGATTTGTGACACAAACCTATAGCACAAAACGAAATATTCGGATTACCTATGGGTTTCGAAAGAAGCAATGTTTGTCGAGATATTATACATTAAATCCAAATCTTCCAATTAATTTATGGTATGTACAATTGGTTAATAGTAATGAATTAACAACAATATCCGATCTGCAAGCACAATCAATTTATTCAATACGTGCACAAGCATTTACAACACGTGGTGCTGGTCCATTATCACCACCAGTACAAGTAAAAACTCTACAAAAAAATGTATACGTGAGAAAAGATAATTCTATCGTTCGAATGTACATTGATCTTGATAAAGTTATCTGGAATCAAAATATTGCTCCTCCAGATATATTTCATGATATCTTTGGTAAGCTAATCATCATTAACCCAGAATCGATTAACTTGATTGACTAAACTTTTTTTTCTATTTTTTTTTCAAAAAAATTCAGAAGGAGCAATTTTTTTTAAAGAATCATTGATCTAATGGAAATTTTATTCATTCAAGTCCGAAAAAATAAACAAAATTACAAATTACAAAAAAAAAATTCACATCAATCAAAACAAATAAAATCAAAATATTGGTTGAATGAAAAAAAAATTTGGTTCAAAAAAAAGAAGATTATTTCATTACATATAGTGTGTGTATATAAATTAAAAAAAATGATGTAAATATACAGAAAAAAAATTGTAATTTTGAAGAAAAAAATTTGAAAATTTGTTGTATAAATGCCAATAATAATAATGATGGATGCATAAGTACAAGTTTTTTTTATATAAAAAAAAAGTCGATGAGATGAGATAACGGGTTAAAAAATATTTAATATCACTTGTAAAAAAAGGTATATTGTTGTTGTTGTTGTTGTCGAAATAGTTTTTTGATAAATTTTCAAAATGATTCTCTAAGATTCTTGCCACACACACACAAAAACGCACACACAATGAAATTTAGAAGAAAAAAAAAGCTTGAAGCTAAAATTGTGATAAGGGAAAGTAAAATTATTATTATCTGAGATCCATATATTGTGTCCATCTTGAAGCCACGATGAAA